TTTAACATCACTTAGAAGCAAATTTTCGTGTAACAGTTTATCGAAAAAAGGCCCAAAAAATCAAATCAGCCGATATGACTATTATGAAGTGCATTAAGTTCATAAAGGTGGGCGCGCGTTATTTCGTGACGCGCATCGGTGATACTTTGGATAATTCAGCTAATTTTTTGAAAAAGGCAAATTTCAAATTAGTGCCCGGCCCGCTATTACGCGCAAATACGTATGTTAGAGATATTTAATGTAGTTGTAGGTTTTTTGTTTATTAATATCTTCAAATTGTTTATATTTATAGATGTCAAATACGATGTTAGAAATATCGATACAGGTTTTAAATACCGTAAACATGTTTTTCAGATTATTTTTGACCCAAAATGTATAAATTTTACTTTAAACACAACAGTAAATTTTTTATATATCTAGCAAAGTTATATTTAAAAACAGTTAACTACCATAGTGCCTATTTTCAATATTCCCATGCAAAATACTCTGGCGTAAAAACCGGAGTCTCGTTACAGCTGTTTTTCATAAATTCTAAAACAACTGAAAAATTTTCCATGACTGCATTGACAGATTATAGAGTTAAAATCAATAAGTCACCGATATCGGCCAAATCAAAAATTTATCGATCCGGTCTTGGACAATTTTTTCATTTATCCCAAGATTTATGAAACATCTGTAATCAAATGTGAATTTTTTTTTAAAAAAATTTCAAAACTGCTTATCAGTTATTATAAATGCTGAGTACGTATATACTTGAAATTTCATTCTTGCAACACAGACGCACAAAAAGCATATTATACCCGGTCTTTTGCAAGTTTTTCATTGGGTATTTAATCAATGCACTGCGGTATATGTATTTTAAATTATAATAAAAGTTTATATTGTGATTCCTAGTTTGAAGTTGTATAACTCTTTATTATGAATTTAATCATTACAGTATACAATAGATATCAGTCTTATTATAAATAAAGTTTTATCAATTCATCACTTACTCCGGACGGTGTTAATACACCTAAATCTGTGCACAACAATGTAATATAATCGGGTGGTGTATAATCTACTGTGGGGTTAATCGCCTAGCATTTAAACGAAAATTAATAAATGATTGGGAATATATTTTCTGTTAGCATAAAATGTCTAACCTCATAATTGCCTATAACTTCATCTTCTGATAAGTCTGTATTGTGATGCTCTAAGTCAGGAAATGTGAGTAAATCAGGCGTGTGAGTTGGAAGATCGTATTGGTTGAGTGGGAACAGACGAACAAATTTATAGCTAGCAATGTAAATATGTTAATATCAGAGTTCATTGATTTTATTAATATTACCAATCATTAATTAATTTCGTGCTTACCTTTCGATAACTGCATAGAATGGCTTATTAGCAGCCTTTGCAACAATGGCTAGCTGATAAGTGCCAATCTGTTATTTGTTGGAAATTTTACTCAGAAATTTTAATTTAACTAGATTTAAAATATTATAAATTCAATGTAAGCCTTACAGCATTAATGAGCCCTCCATTTTCAACAACACCTTCTGCTCCGACAAAAACAGCATCAACTTTATCAATGACGTAACCTACTGCTGTATCATATATAACTGTTGCCGGAATTCCTGCTTTGCATAATACTTTAGTGGCTCTGATTCTAATAATAATATTTATTATTACGCACATCAGATCAATACCTAGGGTAGTAAATATATACAAATGAAACTTACTACTTACCCTAAGCCCGTGGGTCTAGATTCAGTAACATAAACTTTAAATCTTTTTTTACAAGCTGCAGCACGTTGGAGAAGCAACATAACCACACGAGAGTAAGAATGAATCAATATTGTCTGATGAGATTGTGAAAAATAAAATCGTCAGAGAAAACACATGTCCTAAAATGCTCAAATTAAACATAAATGAATACGTACCGCATCATCTTTAATAAATTGTACACCTAGATCACCAATCTTTTCACGTACAGCTGCAGCTTTTTCAACAAGAACTTTCCCACTATTTATCAAATGTTCTCTACATGCTTCAAAATTCTAAACCATATTCATAATTTAATTTCAGAATAACTCTTATATAATTCAGCTAATGTAATATAGTTATGATTTATCATTCACTCACCGTAACATCGTGCGACGTTCTTGTTACGAACCTTAAAAACAAATCAGCACCAGCTGATAATGAAATTGAATTTTTTACGGATGATTTAAGTTTTTGAC